TGATGAAGATGAGATGATTTCATTTAAGGTCTCTGGCTTTATCCAGTATGCACGGGTATCTTGTTTACCTTTCTTGCTAGAGCAGCTGACTTCACACAGGAAAACATCTTCACAGCTATCGCTTTGTAATCGCTCTTTCTGGAGAAGCTTGTCTACCCTCTGGATAATGCATTCAAGACTTTTATCAACATTCACCCAGACTTTTTCCTGGGAAGGAACAAACAGAAAGGGATCAATGACATACTGGTGTGACAAATATAATGAAAAAGCCTAAAGAAAGAAATATATTGAAATAATATTTTGAAAACACTATTTTCACTACTATCAATAATTCATAGAAAGCATGTACATAGCTTGAAAGGAAATAAAGGTACATACTAACCATTTCCATCTAACTAGGCAACAGGGTGAAATAACATTGTTTTCTTCTGGACAAAACTGCAAAGATTATCAGTTAATTTACTACTTTCCAATTAATAATTGGGAAATGATCACATCTCCAAGACATATAAGCCACCTAGAATAACTCCACAGCAAGATAGGCAGCAAATAAACTTAACAATTAAATAAATTTAGCTGCTCCATATTTATTGGCAACTCAAAAAATAGAAACAGAAGTAGAGAAAAAGAAATGAACACCCAATGTCTGGATTCACAGGTTGCTTTAAGTCACCAGGTCATTTGTTTATTGCAAGAGGTTAATGACCTCAGCTGCTCTGGTTCCTAGGTTCACTCTACAAAAGGCATGTCATGTGACATCGCGTGACGTATCGTGACTTTTCCCCCATTCCCCGCGATGGGGTGGGTGCGGTTTCGATGTGATGCATCTGGCCCGCAGGCTGGCAGTTTGACATGCTTGCTCTATATGAACCCAGCTACTTTTGACTTATTCCACGAACTATACTTAAATCAAATAATGACAATGTAGAGATTCTGCTGGAATTAATAAACAAAGGGCCCCAGAGCACCAAAGTACCTTCCAAAAATGATTGCCACAATTGGGTGCATAGATTTCTACCATTTTTTTTATGGGAACATGACAATTGGAACACAGGCTCTAAAATAGGCTTAACACCATTTATAACTACAGTGATCATAAATCCTTTATTATAAAGGACAGTCCTTTATTTCAGAAAAGGGTCCTTTAATTATTTTCTTATTTTGCTCTTGAATTTTTCTTTGTAAAGCAAAGTTATAAACCTAAATACTGTAGTTATTTCTTTTATCCTTTGAACCTCTTTCAGAGTTGTCTTTTCTCAAGTTTTTCCTTCATTTTTTCCAAGAAAATATGGTCATTGTATTTATAGCACAAAGAAAAAAAGTTGCAAAAATCCATGTTACGTTCACTGTGCATCACTGATCAATGCCCACTATGCCTTTTGCTCTTTTAAAACATTTTAAGCATAGTCTCTAACCCACAAAACATGATCAAGTACCTGGCAGTTGTAATTTTACAAAAAGGAATTGTCTGAATTAAGATTCACTGAAGTATAAGAAGGAAATTTTAAGGTAACAGCCTACCCACTCTTCTTCATGCCAGTCCACCTGCAGAGAAGAACGGCTATTTCTTCCTGCCCACCTGGCCACCAAAGTATCTTGGTCATTTCTTAGCACCACTTGTTCTCCTTCTGTAGATGTTGGAGATGCCTTTGAAGCTATATAATCTGGTCTTGCAGCATTCAGGGCATGAATTGAATTTGCCAACAGTTTGCAGTCACAGACAGTGACAAGCTGCCGGGTCTAGAAAGGATAAAGATGACACATAATATTTGTAAACAATGTCTATTTTATAACATCATCATTCTTTGTAACTGTCCAAGACCAGCATTACCAGCATTACTTACAAACCCAGTAACTATCCAAAATTATGTCATTTTTTAAAAACAATTCAATACAAGGTATACTTTTCTTAACATGTTTATGGAGATTCTCAGTCATCCAAGTTATGGTTGTCCCAAGGTGCTTTTTCAAGAGGCAACTGGATTTTCTTGTTTTTCTTTGAAGATGTTTCACTTCTCATTCAAGAAGCTTCTTTGGCTCTGACTGAATGATGGGGAATGGAAGGATTTATATTCCTTGCAGACAGCTGGTCATTTGCATTCTTTCAGAGAGTCATTGAGGCCTCATGGAGGTTTATCTGTGTCCTCAAGATTACCTGAGTGGTGCAAATGGGTGTGGAGCCTTCTTGGAACTGCTGAAAGGACCCTGTTATAGACTGGAAATAGATGATGTTGCATCCCTCCCCTTCTATTGAGAAAGGACTGCTCAATTTTGGCATAGATGGCCTCTTTGACCCCTCTTTCAAACCAGCGATCCTCTCTGTCCAAAATGTGGACTTTGCTGTCTTCAAAAGAGTGGCCTTTGTCTTTTAAATGCAGATAGACTGCTGCATCTTGTCCTGATGGGTTTGTTCTCCTATGTTGTGCCATGTGTTTATGAAGTGTTGTTTCCCCAATGTACAGATCTGCACATGTCTCACTGCATTGTACTGCATATACCACGTTGCTTAGTTTGTGTCTGGGTGTTTTATTCTTGGGGTGGACAAGCTTCTAGCTTAATGTATTCTTGGATTTAAAGTGTGCAAGGTATGTTGTGTTGGCTGAAGATCCTCCTGAGCTTTTCAGATATTCCTGCAACATATGGAATGACAACATTGCTTTGTTTATTGTTCTCTTCTGTTATGGAGGAGCTCCTACTGAGTTTTTGGGGGGGATTTGATGAAGGCCCAGTTGGGATAGTCACATGTTCTGAAGGCTTCCTTGGTGTGTTTTAGTTCTTTTTCTTTCCATCTCTGCTGGTAGGCAGGTCTTCAGCTCAGTGGTGCAGGGTTCTGATAACTCCCATTTTGTGCTCCAGTGGGTGGTAAAAATCAAAATGTATGTGGGCGCATGGGTTTTCTGAAAACTTTAGTGTTAACTCTTCTGTCTTCCTTAATGTGTACTGCACAGTCCAGGAAGGCTGGACTATTTTCCTTAACATCCTCCCATGTGAATTTGATGTATTTGTCCACCAGGTTCATACATTTGGTGAACATTTCCAATTCCTGTATTTTGATCTTGACCCAAGTATCATTCACATACCCTGGGGAAGCCACGCCATGCATATATGGACTCTCCAAAATCCACAAAGAGGGAACACCACTCAGACCAATTGTCAGCATCAACTCTGTCACCTACATTGCAAAACATCTAACCACATTATTAGCTCCTCTAGTTAGTAACACTACCCATCACATCAACAATTCACAGGACTTTTTCAGCAAGGTTTGGAAATTAAAAATGGACCCAGATGAGATCATGGTTTCCTATGATGTGACTTCCCTCTTCACCTGCATTCCAACAACTGAAGCTGTCATGGTAGTGAAGAAATTATTGCTACAAAACAGCACCTTAGGTGACAGAACCAACCTCAGCCCAGACCAAATATGTGCCATGCTGGACCTCTCCCTGACCACTTCTATTTTAAATACAATGAAGATTTCTATGGACAAAAACACGGCTGCGCCATGGGATCACCTGTGTCCCTTATTGTGGCCAATCTCTATATGGAAGACGTAGAAACCAAATCCCTGAACTCCATCACAGGAATTCCACCCACTCAGTGGTATAGGTATGTGGATGAGACTTGGGTCAAGATCAAAACACAGGAATTGGAAGCGTTCACCAAACATATCAATTCTGTGGAGAGATACATCACATTCACATGGGAAGATGTTAAGGAAAATAGTCTAGCCTTCCTGGACTGTGCAATACATATTAAGGAAGACAGAATCCTTCCATTCCTCACCATCCAGTCAGAGCTAAAGAAGCTTCTTGGATGAGAAGCAAAACGTCTTCAAAGAAAAACAAGAAAGTCTAGTTGTCTCTCGAAAACACCTTTGAGACACTTGTAACAAATCTGGACATGATTTACCTTAAGGCTAAGTACAAAACTTAACAAATAAAAAGGTTATTTTAGGATACTAAAAAACTGCTAAGACATTTTTTTAAATGTGGTTAGTGATCTAGGTACCATTAATTGAGGCAGACAGGCAATCTTTCCATTAGAGTGCCAATTGAGAGCACAGCTCCCCATAGAATTTATCTTAAAAAACATATTCTATGGTGTTTATTTTATAACTATTTCTATAGCATTTCACTGTGAACTTGATTTCAATTTGCATTCAATGAATTGATTCATACAGCACACTAAGCAATAACTTTTCTTAACTAAATATGTTTTCTTAACTAAATATAACCTAGACATTGTGGTATATAACCTGCATTTGATAATATGTTGTATGGATCTCACCAATTGTGGCTTGTTAAAAGAAACTAGATTTAGTGTTGTGTGAATGTAGAAAAAAGAAATATAACAGGATTATCAGGAGGCAGTCAGCACTGAGATGGATATCAATACTTGAAAAAATGATCAGGGCCATAAAGATTTTTTTCCCACAGAGTACTTTAATTAGCAATTTGAAGAATGCTGCTTTACAGCCCTAAGCATCACCAAGATTTATGGTATTAGTTTTTAGACTTTCGTAACAGAAATCAAGGTTGCAGAATCTTTTTGCTTCAAGTCTAGTCTGCTATAGCAGTAGGATTTAAAGCAGGATGGGATGTCTTAGAATAGATCAAGTGTAATAAAATACAATAGTCTTATATGCTGAGTTCAGAGAGATTTAGGGCTTATTACTGACCATTAAATATAGTCCAAATAAACATAACAAGTTCTTGTAGTCCATTCAGAATGCTAGGATTTTGGCAGGCCTACCGAGAAGGAAATTCAATAACTGCAAAATGTTTTGCTATTCTTACAGTAAAAGAATATTCACTTAATATTAAGTTAAAGAGGAATCTCAATGGCACATAGGAAAGACTGAACCAATCCCCTACCTTATCTGCCAAAATGGCAAGTGTTCTTTCAAGTCCATTTGCTGATTTATCCTTGGCAGCTCTGGAAAGCCTTTCTGCATAGTAACTAACTTGAGTTTTCAGGGTATTGATCTGTGCAATAATCTCCTTTGCTCGAATAATATCCTGTGGTATGTATACTATAGACTGGGAATTGGTTGCAGTGCTGATGACAAGGGAAAAAAAGAATAATTTTAATAAAAAAGTAGTGGAAGATATTGGCTTGAGATCTAGTTCTAACTATCAAGCCACCAAGTACAAAGACTGACAATCTATTATGTTGCAACCATCTTATTCAAACCATCTTAATATGCATATGATGAAAGCATTTGAACAAAATGTATATATCAAACATGCCATGTGATTACTCAGAAGCCACACAAGGGGGGGAAAAGTGCCAATCAAACAATGCAGCAATAACACAATTGTTTCTGTTAATCTAATTTCTTGGCTAAGCATACAGTAATTTATTCATTCAAATGGATAACCGATCCATCTGCCTTCAAAGATTTCCAGATTCAGCTTAGAAAATACTATTGTTATTATCCTTTCCATAATCATGTAATTGTTCAAGATGATTAAAGTTTCATATGGCTTTCTTTTTAACCTTTTTGCCAATGTCAGAATCCTGCTTAATAAACCCAGATTTGCACTATTATAGATGACTAACTAACCCAAATATAACTCAAAATGGATTTATAGTAAAGCAGGGGTCTTCAAACTTGGCCCTTTTATGACTTGTGGACTTCAACTCCCAGAATTTCTCAGCCAGGCATGCTGGCTGAGGAATTCTGGGAGTTGAAATCCACAAGTTATAAAAGGGCCAAGTTTGAAGACCCCTGTAGCAAAGTCTAGCTACTTGACTTCCCTTCCGTATATCTGGATTTGTTTTTGCAAATCCAGATATATGGTCTACCATCTATTGTTGCTGGAGAGCCATCAGCTTTACCAGTTCACACAATGTGTCTGGAAAGGTAAAAATGGAGTCTAATTCCTTTCTCTGGCAGTTAGCTTCCTTCCAGGGTCCCACTGCAGATTTCAGGTTGCCAGTTGCCTGATTCATTCACAGCAAAACAGATTTATTTAAAATAATTCTTCCATTTGCATAACACAATGCTTCAGAAACAATGTAAGTTTTCAGAAGCAGCTTCCAATGTAAAATTGAAGTCAAAATACTTTTGATAGTATGGATCTTGTAACAACATCTCTTCTTTTTAATGAACTTTAAAAGTCTAGCTTTGAAAGAATCTAGCTAATAGTTTAAAAGCTATTAAGCAAAGCTTTGCTCAGCTATCTTGAAAAATACATTTTTAAAGGAAAGGATTTAGACTGTAATAAAAAAGGAAAAAAGAGAAAAAGTATCTTTTCATTTTAAAAATGGCTTTAAAATTTTTATACGAGTTTTCTTTTTAATGTGATACAGATTGTTTATTTTAAGGACAGATCTAAAAGCTTAGGCTTTTAAATTTTTTATCAACAGTTATAACAATATGTGCATCTTATTTGAAAAAGAGACATCATGCAGAATCAATCTATGTGCAGTAGCAAACTACATGCAGCATTATTTGTGTTAGACTCATTCTCAAAAGGAGCAAAGCAAATCTTTTGCTGGTATCAAAAGAAATAATTCGATCAGCTTCTCATGACCATTCTCCCAAATGAACAGCTATCATCCTTCACTGACTTTTAACTGGAAAACAAAATTTTATCCATCTCCCCCCAAAGATAAAATTTTATTTCTTTTCAAATTTAGGATTAAGTAGATTAAAGCAGTCCAACTTTTGTGATTAAAGACCCAAGGTCACAATCTTACAAACATAACTGTGTAGTTCCAAAGATACAAAATCCATTTATCGAATGCTTGGAAGTATAACTGTCAATTCATGTACATGGATTAAAGTTTTAGTTCATATCTGATCCAAATTTATGTAAACCTCTTGTATAAAAGGTGATCCCTTATCTTAATAGATAAGGGATGCAAATAGATCTTTGAAGCCATTTTGTGTGCACAAAATGAATAAATCAGCCTTTGGAGAGCATATGTTCAGATAAACTGCAATTAGGCTCCTTGCTGCACCCCTAGGACAAATACCGGTAGTAGAAATATCTAAACATATCCTGATACCCAGAGCTTCCTTTAATGTCTAGGCTCACTCGATAAGGTGGTTAAATGTTTTAGCAACATCACACCATTGAAGGATCTGAAGAATAAGGATAATGGCTTCTAGGCTAAATGAGATAATATGAAGCCATTCTGATCCTCAGCATTGCAATTTTTAACAAAATAAGCTGGGTGTCTACTATCTCCTTTTCAAATAAACACTTCTTAAAACTAAGCCCAATCAAACTATTTTCTCTTTCTCCTAAAAAGAAAAGTATTCAAACAATATTTGATTATTTTAATTTTTTTAATGATGAGCAGTCATACATTTAATATTTCCAATTCTCTTAAATTGTCTTATATAATTCAGAGGTTGTTTTTAAATGTTAGCTGTTCATTAATAAAACAAATAATGCAAGTGAAAATAACAGATTCATGCCTATGAAATACTTCAATAAACATTTATTTAATGAAGCAAATTAGCAAGTTAGGATACAAACATAAAACACAATCTGTTAATACACTGTCTGCTTTAGAAAAGGAAGAAAGCTGTGCTACCAACTCAGAAATAGAAAACTCACCAACTTTCCTCAAAACTGCTAAAAAAAAAAGAAACCAAAAGAAAATTAGCCTTTGATTTGTTAGCAAATACCAAAAGCCAAATGATGTTAGGTAAATGTTAATTGCTTTAATATTTTGTAATAATGTTGTGTTAGTAGATGAGGAAAACAAAAAGTACACAAAATGGTAGTTGTCTCCTAGAATGTTATAAGATCCCACAGAAAAATTTATAGCTGACTGATAGAACACATAGCTATTTTTATGAGACATTCAGCACATACCTTAATGAATTCAAGTCCCTCCCTGACTTGCCTTTTGCCATTCCTTCAGAGATTCTTAATCTCATTCTCCAACCAATAAATGGTAAAGCTACCACCAATGATCTGACTGTGCTTACAGTTTTAAAATCTAATATAAAATGGAAATCCCAGTCCTGTGTTCAATCTATCAAGATGATTTTCCAAAGGTAAAATAGTTTAGTCATCAATATTAAAGGGGTGGTAAGTCCAAGCCAGCCAATTACTACCTAATTACTCTAAGTATAATCAGCAAGCTATATACTAGGCATTTCTTCATAAAATTGATGGAATTTAAGAAAATATTTTAAACACAGAACATGTCAACTGGAGTAAATGTTGGCATGTGTGCTAGTTAATGGCATTTCTTATTGTATTCTTATTGTCATTCAAAAATAGCTGGTATATCTGAAATATAAAGTGTATCTCTGTTTTATTTGTAATTTTTTAAATAGAAACCTTGATGTTTCAGTAATGCATGGGCAATTTCCAGGACTCAAAAAAAAAAAAAGAGATTATTTTTGTAAGAGATGTCTCTAATGTTAAACCACAAATTTGTGCTCTGCAACAATGTTTCTCATCCCTGTCAGCTTTAAGATGAGTGAACTTCAGCTCCTAGAATTCCTCAGGCTGGCTGGGGAATTCTGGGAGTTGAAGTCCACAGATCTTAAAGCTGCCAAAGGTAAGAAAAACTACTCTGCACCAACAGGGTGTGTTTAGTATTAAAAGCACAGTACATTCCAATAGTGCATATATTGCAACAAATCAAATGAACAACAGTGTACAATAGTACACTTAAATATAATTTCAGAATCCCTATTTCATAAAAATGCATGGTCATTTAAGGGTGATAGTTTATATCCCCCTTATTAGCCAAATAACTAGTTTATTCAGAATTATATTTATATATATATATATATATATATATATATATATATATATATATGCCAAACAAATAAAATAAAACGAACACCAGGGTAAAATAATCAAACTCTAGGAGTTTAATGTTACAGTACCAAACGCCAAGCTTTCGTCAGCATTCTGCTGACATCATCAGGGCTTAAACGGTCAGTCTATGGGNCCCATTTGTCAGTTATTTCTGCATGTTCCATCAGTTTAAAAAAAGGTTTATATCTGCCTTAGTGGATTACTTGCATCAGGAAATGGCGGCAGGCGTATATTTGCATTCTTCTGAATTTTTCAGTGACTTTTGAGACCTTTCAATTGCACTGATTAACATTATTTTATGATATATATTTTATGTATATTTTATTATATGGCAAACTATGTTTACAAAATAAATTAGAATTTTTCATATGGATTTTTATGGTAGATTATTGTAATGTAGTTCATTGTCTAACATTTTATTAATCTGATCATTGATTCAATAAATCTTTTGTCTAAAGTAATTATATATATATAATGCGGTCATCAAGAGACGTCAGAAGGCTGATTTTATGGGCGTGCTCAATTCGGTATACCCTGACATCCAGTTCACGATGGAGGAGGAAAGCCAAGGTACCTTGGCGTTCCTGGATGTATTAGTCCGCCGGCAATTCGATGGGTCGGTGAGCACAAGGGTATACCGGAAACCAACGCACACGGATAGGATCCTCCATTACCAGAGCAACCATCCGGTGACCCATAAAATCAGCTGCGTGAGAACTCTGTTCAAACGTGTCTACTCCCACTGCAGTACGAGCAAGGCGCAAAAAGAGGAGAAAAACCACCTGTTCCGAGTGTGCAAACGCAACGGGTACCCGGTGAGGTTCGTTAGGCGCTACAGCACACCACCCGAACCCAGGGCAGATTTACGAACAGATGAGCTGGCACCACAACCCACGTTAGTTACCCTCCCATACATCTGTAACGTATCGGAAGCCACAGCGAGAATACTAGCACCCCACAACGTGAAGATTGCACACAGACCCAACCGGACATTACGTGCCGTAGCTATGCGCCCCAAGGACCCGCTCCCCAACATGGAGAAGTCAGCAGTCATATACAAAATCGACTGCAAAGACTGCTCCAGCAATTATGTTGGGGAAACATCGAAGAGGGTGAAGACCAGGGTCCACGAGCATAAACTAGCGATAAAACGGGGTGAAAGCTACTCCCAAATAT